TACTGGCCATAACGAGTAAAAACAATCTATTGATTAGTGACTTGCTGCGAAGTACTTCTTGCGCTGCTGGTTGATTCGACGATAATAATTATTGGTTGAATTATACATTCATCATATACGTGCAGCTTGTGTTATAAAAGAGGTAAGTACAAAGGGGGGCATTCGAGTAACTAATATTTATGGACATAACATATAATAAAACGGTCTACAGGAAGGTACGTTGTGTGCAATATGTGCGGATTAAATTGTATATTTAGATACTTTCTATATGAGAAATAATACTAGGAAGAAAGAACACATGATAATTTGTAGCTGTAGGGTCCGCATTTGTTTGACTCAGGCAAGACTGCTAGTCTCGTTTAGATCGTTGAAGCGTGTAGATGTAGCCCTCTTCCGTTTCTATTACGGATCGACTATTATGGGGCTGATTACAAATCATGTGAAAATAAAAGTAGAGAACAGAATATATATTTTTTAAATCAAGATATCAAGGTGTTCAATTACGAGTGTCAGTAAATTATTATTCGATTTTTTACAAAAATTTATTAATAGTTTTTAGTTTAGTATAGGACATGCATATTGCAAATTTTTGACAACAGATTCTGAAACACTGTCAACATTTGTCCAGTTCTGAATTTCTGTTGGTAAGTTTTGCTCTTTTCGTCACAGTCGTCATCACACATTTCATCGAAGTCGAATTCTTTCAGCAATAATCTTCCTCTTTTTAGAGAAACCGAAATCGAAATTGAATCACTATGCACATGCTCACTCGCACTTTGACTAGACACATATAGTCTAAATACCTATCAAAATCGATCTGCGAATCAAAAATATTCAGAACCATTAGGGTACCTGAATTCTGTGCAAATATTCCGTTTTTCTACAAGAAAATTATTTGTGTATCATTTTTGTAAAATAATACTCCTTTTTGTGAAAATATTAATTTTTTTAAAAAGGGACTATCCATTCATAGTGAGCGGGCAATTAACAGTTTGTTAATACATTCTTTAAATATCTTACCTCAGTTCATATTGTAAAATATATCTCACCTCAGTTCCCGCGCGATAGAAATATGTCAAATATAAGTTCATCTATTTAAAGCAATGGAAATGTTTCATTAAAAAAAACTTTTTATTCAAAAATACGATAGATGATAATCCTATCGGTATTAGAAGCTCATATTATAAATTTTTTGTCAATAAATAAAATTTACTTTTCTAATCAGCTCGATCTTTTACTGTGCTCTGCTCCTTATGCTCTATTGTTAACAGTGATTTTTGCATTTCTCAAGCATTGAGTAAATTTACATTTCTGAAAAACACGGTAAACGTTTCGTCTCATACGAGATTCATGACCAGTTTCGTTGTTAACATTGGTTTGGGGATAACTTGTATAATGCCTTGTTTTTCTCACTGACACTGTTGGTTCTCTTTTCTCATAACCTAAACAATCTTTCAAAAAACTGTAAGTATATTTTTGAATTTTTTTGACGATCTATAAAATTCTAGAAATTTTTATTTTTAACGTTTACTAATTATTAGTTTTTAAAATACTTCACTACTGGTGTTACATACTACGGAGAGATACTTCCAAGAAAAGTTTAATACAGATTTTCATTTTTGATAGCAAGTTACGACGTTGATCCTCCTCGGTCAAATCATACAGTGTTCGCCCATATAATTGGACATAGTAATGCGAATAATAATGATGATTCTAACAACAAAAAAAGTGGAATTATAAATTCGAAGTAAAACGGAAAGGACTTGCTTCTGAACGCGCATTTCCAAAACATCAGGCAGACTCTAATATAATTAACACTAATGTAAAATACAAATGAATCTCACACTATATAATAATAATGCGAAAGCTGCCAATTGACAATAATTATTACAAATTGTTCAATAATTACAATTAATGACCGAAGAAACAATACACGGTAAAAATACGATAATANATAAAAAATTAGTCATGTTCATAGAAATACTAGTTACAAGAAAGGAGCTAGTAATATGAAATGGGACATTATCTCTGAAACTATATCTATTATTATTTATGTTGTTAATATCTTTATCTGCAACTGCGAACTAACAATTGCAATAATAGTTTCAACACTTCGAAATTTTTTCAGAAGTCAAAACTTTTTGGCAAAATTTCATTTGCAATATAGAATGTGATTTTTGAATACCAATAAATTAATCATTATGTCTAATAATTAATCTCCGTTATGCTATAAAAAAATTGAAATTTGTTGGGAAAAGGTATAAATATAAAACTTTTCTCCTGAGTATCATAAATATTGTTCACATTTAAATATTTTTCTAATTTAATACCTTTCATTTTTACTTCCACAGTTTCATTTAAGAATAATAATTGATTATTGATTGTTGGTTACAGAAATCAAAGTGGTATGAAAATTGTACATTTTTGCGTAGGGTAAAAAATTTTTGTTGTCCAAGTATGAAAGAAAATATATTTCTTTTTTCAGAAGTAAACGTTCCGTAAAAAAAATTATTGTACCTTTTTGATTATATTATTATATTTAGTGTGTATCAGAATATGTGAACATAACTGATGGATTCAGTACTAAAATAAGAAGAAAGTTTCATGTAATCGAGTGCACTTGATTTTGTTTATAGGATAAAATTTTTATCTTCTAATAATTCTTTCTATAAACTACGTTTTTCACTTAGCTGTTTATAAATATTAGCATTGATTAATCAAGAGTCAGATATTAATCATAAATATAATATTCATGATTACCAATATGTTCAAACAAAATCAGGTAACTTCAATCGAATCAAAGTTTCAATGACAAATTGAACTCATTTGGAAGGTCATTTGAGCTCTTGGAACTCGAATTGAGAATAATCACTGCGAGCAATTTCAAGTAAATAATTGCTATTTAGAATACAAGGATCGGTTGCTTGAAACAAGGTCATATCGGCTATATAATTATACAAACTTCTTCCTCCTTACTCTAGTGTGTTGAATTCATGAATTCAATATGTGTAAATACATTCTGATACACTATGTACAACCTAAATATTGTAATAATAAGATATAATAAGAATATAATTAACAATGATTAACATTATAATTTTTTATCTAACAAGAATATTTAGAATTACTCATTTATTTTCAAAATAAGAAAAATGATCACATTACTATCTCTTTATAAATAATAAAATTTGATTTACCATATCTTTCAAGTAATCGGCTGGCCACGTATATATATAAATTTCTATCAGTACAGAGATAGATGCTGATAAGAGCTGAATTCTCAATATTAATGGTGTATCCTATACTTATATTTTGTGGTTAGTACGTTATGATCTGTGCGTAAAAAATATAAGTTTCACTTACCGTAAGAAAAATAATGCTACATAAAGTAATAACAAACGTGCTCGTTCCTACAACATAAAGTACAATGAAACGAAAATTCCTCACCACTTCTTTTGCGTACCTGAAAAAAAATACCTATAACGAGATTAAATGTACCGTTTGATCATACGCGTCATGAAGTAAAATGTCATCTTTACCTTCTTAAATATAATTGTTTTTTTATGCAAACTATTAACATACTAATATTTGTAGTTTGTTTCATTTCTATGGCTAAACATTCCAATCTTGCAGCCGTGAACCAAAGTAGGAGCGCACCAAATATGTTTAGACATCCATGAGCAGAGCAACGA